CCCTTTGATAATGCCAAATATACATTGAACCTTAAATAAATACATAATGCAAAAAATAAAACAATTGGTAGTCATATTATATTTATCTACAACATATGAAAAAAATGTGCAATTCACAGAAAATACATACAAATAACATAAACAAACTCGGAGATTTGCCCATATACAACACATACTGTGATTGGACCAATTTTTTAAGACGGCTTGACGTCGACGCTTCTGTGCCAAATGAATACGTCGGTACAGTCTATTCCGTTTAGTCAATAGATTAACAAACTCATTCTCCAACCGCGCAGGACCTAAGACATTAGAAATACACTTAAAATTAGTTGAATATAATTGCATTTTAGATTATAAAGTAACAACAAACACCGACCACTAAATTGCTGCATATGTTTATCCTGGACATTGAATGACCTACAACTTCTTTTCCCTTTTAAAATGACATGTCTCTGCTGCCATGCCAATTGTGACAGGGATCTGGACAGGGCATTCAGTTCACCTTTCAACTCATCTTGTTCTACATATTACAATTAACCACAAATTTTAAATTATACATTTAATGATAAAAAATAATTTGTGAATGGAGTATGTATTCATCCATACCCTTTTCGAACATTGCTTTTTCCTCGGCAGATAGGAGAAAGCGCTGCCCCTCATCTTCTGGATCGTAAAATAATGCCCGACATTTCCCTGAGATAGATAAAATTTAGTGAACTATTGTATTTATATGGCAACACTAACTACAGTCTCATAGATGCCACTTTACATACACGGATGCGACGAATCCAGGACCCGTTTATTGAGTGATGCAGTCACATGCATACTTCTAACCCTTGTACCTGAAGAATAAGAAAAACACAAATCATTGACCTGATGAGGAAGAAAAAATTTGGTCCTTTGTGAGCGTACAACAATTATGAGACTCACGTTTAAATACAGTATTCGGATCAGATGAGAGATGAACAGATGACTCGCCACATTCGAATGTACTTGTATCCATAATGGAAGAAAATATAACTGGGTGTGTATAACTACATCAATAGAGGGCCAGAAACAACAATTGAAGTCCAAATTCACCCACCTGTTGTTTCAAACAACAAACACAAAAAAAAACAGTTACTTCATCTAAATATAATAAATTACTTCATATAAATATAATCAGATGTATTGAAATAGTCCCCTTATGTATGAGAAGAGGATTCCAGAGCATTGTTACCCAGACGAATATTAGTGCAGACACCAGAGAGAGCACTTGAAATAAACATGGAACCCCGAATTCATGCTAACCTTCTGAGGCTTGACATAAACCATTCGGTAAGCAAATGGACGAAATAGAGCCTGTTGGGAAATCATAATATAAGAGCAGAATGAGAAGGTTTTTGAAATGAAAAATCACTCTCCTACCACCATCTCTTCTTCCTCCTCCTCCAGTTAAGAATTGCAAAAATGCACCAGCAACCAACCATAAATTCGCAAAAAAAACCATTGTTTAACATGATCGAAAGTTGCAAAATTTATTACCGTTAAGAGATTGTTCATCGTGGCACAAACAGAGGGAGGGAACTAATGAAGGAGCTCAAACAAAACAGGTAAGTCTCTGCCGTCAACAAAAATATAACGCACCTGAAGGAGCGCCAATAAAAAAGAAGCAATTGATGATGCCCGCCACCTAATCAATCAAGGGGCAACAATAATCTGTCCAGCAACTTGGTCGAGATCCCGTTGTCCATTTGAGGTGATTCTCCTTCCACTGAGAACAAAACAATCAATGCCTACCGTCATTAGCAAGCCAGTCAAGAACAAAACATAGATTAGAAAACTTTGCTACGATAGCAAGAACAGGAAACCCAATACATGTTTCACAGCAGGAAGGAATTACCTTTATGAGTGTCATACCTCTACCCACAACTATTTCTACAATCGGAGGTAGGAAGTTCGGATCACCACAACCGGTGGAATTGCTTCATGACCGCCCTGCAAGAATAGTTGTTGCTCCTGCAATTGAAGAAGAAATACCCCAGCTGTTAGTGTTCTTTCTACGATCGAGGGAGTAGGTTTGAGGTGAGGATGATTGAACGTGGTGTTCGTAGGTCGTACAGTTTCAAGATTCCTTGTACGTGAGGAGAGGTGCGAGGGGAGGAAATAACCACCTGTGAGCCGAGACAGAATGGTGGCAGGTGGGAAGCTTTGCACGACGTGGGGTAGTTGTGTGTTACTGGGCCGAATTAGTTTTTGGGCCCGTTCAAGTTGAGGCCAGGTGCAAACCCGGTTTTTCTTTGGAACTGTCATGTACGACCGCGCAGAAGAGGTAGAAAAAAAACCCAGCTTTCCCAAACTACCCCTCTTACAAACGCTCTCCATCCAGGAAATTTGAAATGGGGCCTGCTGTTTTTCTATTCGGCTTTTATTTATTGTATATATATATATGTATGTATGTTATAAGGATAACGACATGGGATAAGATCAGGTGACTAAGGGGGGTCTCCTTAGTCACATGACTAAGCCAATCTCAGCCATCCAGCCTCATTAAAATCTAATGGTTCTAGTTTATCTAGTTTAATGAAGGACAAGGTTGTAATTATACATTTTATTTATTTAACAATTAAAATAATAATTGGACAGATCACTTCCGTCCCTCCCTCCCACCTCGCTTCCGTCCCGCCGATCGTCGTTCCTCCCGCACCTCCGGCCGGCCAATTATTTTTTCCGGCTTCTCATCTTCTTTCCCCGCGGTCAGAGAAAAGAGAGAGGGAGGTGACATGGGAAATTATTTTCCTAGAGAGAGTGGAATACCCTCTATGAAGTTCCGCAGAGAGAGAGAGAGAGTGTTGCGCCTGCACACTCTTGGTAGCCAGCTGAGAATCGCCATTTTAGCGGAGCTCCAAATAAAACGCCGGCAGCAACCTCACCCAGAAGCTCCGAACCACTAAAGCGAGCATGAGGGAGGAAAAAGACGAGTGGACAGAGGATACGATGTTCATTGTTACTGCTGCATTTCATCGAACGGGTTGCCTACAATGAAATTCGTTGAAGTGCGAAGAATCTATTCCTTTTTGCCGAGAGAGAGAGAGAGAGAGAGAGATTTTTTCTGGTCGAAAATTTTTTTTCCGGCGACCATCGTCGACTGAGAAGAATTTTTCGGCGACAGTGCTTTGTGATGTTTGTTGACATATTTTGTAATGTTTGTACGCTTTGTTATTTTGTAATGTTTGTAAACTTTGTTATTTTTGTGCACCATGTTTATCATTTTTGTCAACCATATTTGTAATGTTTTTTATGTCTAAAAAACAACCTGGTTGACTTTTGGATGGAACTTCTCTATATAGGGATGAAGCCTCCAAAGTCAACCCGGGAGTTTTTTCAGTTCGTATGGATTGTCGGTCTAGTTTGTCATTTTTGTCCACCATGTTCGTACTGTTTTGTATGTCTAAAAAACACCCGGGTTATCTTTGGGAAGGAGCCCCTCTATATAGGGATGGAGCCTCCAAAGTCAACCCGGTTGTTTTTTCTTTTTGTATGGTTTGTATTGTTTGTCGGTCTAGTTTGTATTGTTTGTACAGTTCATACGTTTGTAATGTTTGTGAATCTGTTTGTATGTTTTGTTGCTCTAGTTTGTATTGTTTCTATGTTTGTATGGTTTGTACTGATTGTAAATCCGGTTTGCATAATACCCAAACTACCCCTGTCATTAATTAAATAGCCCTTCCCACTTTTTAACCATTGGATTGAAGTGTCCAGATCTAATGGCTAGGAGGGGCTTAGTCAAGTGACTAAGGACCCCCCTTAGTCATGTGATCCGCTCTCTAATGACATAGTGTACCTTTTGTGGTGAAATAATATAAGATCCATTTTCTCCATAGTATCACAACATTTTGTATTTTTTTTTTACAAAAGATAATCATGTATTGATTAATAAGAGATTTAACATATTACTCACGGTATACAACCAGGAAAGGAAATCAAAAGAGTGACACGTAGTCGGATACAAAGAAATTATTTTTCTAACCACCAAGTGGGATACCCGATTGTTATTCTGATCTACAAATCGTACATTAAGACCATTATAATTTGCCAGCAAACAACGAACTTCCTCAGTAATAGCTCCAAAGTGATTAACTTGTGTATCAGCTTGGTTTATCTTATCAATGATAACCTTCGTGTCTCCTTCAAACCGAATGAGAGACCACAATCGAGACACCACTGCATGGCCTCGCAGAGTATTAAAAGTTCTACTGTAGGTGGGTCATAAACATCATTGATAGGTACTCCCCGAGCCAAGACTATCGAGCCAGTATGGCGCTTTTATAATTATTCCCCTCGCCGAGTGATTCATTTATTGTTGCTGTAACATCCCATTTCGACTAAATCCGTATTTCGATCACTAGAAACTATACGCGATATAAATCTAGTGTTTTTATAGTATTTCTATGAAAATCGGAATATCGATCGATCAAATAAGTATACATATTAATTAATTGGGATATATATATGGTGGCGTCTTCGGTGCACCCACTTTTTTGGGTGCACTGAACGCACTCGCTTTTCTGTTTAATCTTATCCATTTTTACAATAATTTAATTTATTTGTAATTCATTATTAACTAATAAAATATACTATATTTATTAAAGTAACTTAAACTTATTAATAATTGCAATTAGATCCCAAACCCTCTTCTTCCACGATTGTGTTCCCCTCTTCCCTGTCGATACTTTTGCCAGACGACAATTAATTTCCAGTGGCCTGCATCTTCGTCCTCCGCCACCAGCGCACCAATCTGGCTGTCCCTTGCATCATCGTCTCCCTACAGACAGTAATACCACCACCACTACTACTCCGATTCAACTCTTTCCCCAATAGAATTCTCCGCCAATTACTTCTCGCCTGAATTGTCGGCGGCCTCTCAACATCAGCAGCAGCAACGTTATGGGTTCCAGCTCCTTCAGCAATTGAGGCCTAGCCTATAAAAGTATAAATACAAGGAAAAGTAGTAATAATCCCCAATTCAAACTGTGCAGAGAGTTCCGTTTGCGAACTCGGTCAAGTCAACTCAGCCTATTCAGATGAGGCAGAATAACAGGGGAGTTGGTGTTACACCTGGTGCTCCGCTGGCGGCAGCAGGTGGTTTCCATTGTCACCAATACCAACAGCGATTGGTCGGAGATGATCTCATCTCTCCTTCCTCTTCCTCCCGCCCCACCACCGATAACAACAATAACAAGAATCAGATTTCTCCGTTGCCGAGCCCTTCCTCGTCTTCTTCCACTAATTGCTCTGCTTTTGGTATATGAAAATTGAAAAGCTGGGGTGCTTGAGACAGGGACGGCGCTAGCCTATTAGTAGGGGGGTTTAAAAACATTTTGTGCATCTAAATATAGTCCTCATTGATACAATTTTGGTTGGGTAAAAGCATTGTAGCCAGATATTAGTTGTTCGATCCACAATAATTTTTTGAAGCCTGTATTCTAGAACTTGACCAAGGCATATATCTATTAATATTTCAATCCACCAGTATTTTGGAAACTCAAATAAAAATGTTACTGATGACTTAATTACATTGTTGTTATTATTATTATTATTATTATTATTATTATTATTTTTTTTTTTTATTTTTATCTATAAAAGAACAAGTAAAAAGTTACTATTGCATAGTGTCTCATCACAAGGGGTGCTCTTTTGGTAATTAACCAAAGATTGGAGTAGTTTTATGCCATTAAGGTTCTAATAAATTAATTTTATGCTATTAACATTCTAATCAATTAACTTATGACAATTGAATTCTAATTGAACCCAACTCAATGGGTATTCGACATGGTTAAAGCGATTTGAAAACGATTTTTACAATTTTGGATCGACAACGATTTTTACACTTTTAAATCAATGTGTTGAACTGAGTAATCAATAGAGTGAATTGAACTCTGTATTAATGAATTTTGGGTCGAGCAAGTTTTTTCGACAACGAGCTTTACACTCTTAAATCAATGTGTTGAACCAGGTAATCAATAGAGTGAGTTGAACTCGGGGTATTAATGACTTTTGGGTCGGCAAGTTTTTTTTTTTCTTTGCTTATCGATCAAAGTTACGATCGCTTTACTACTTTTTTTTTTGTTTTTGCCATGCATATGGGTTTTTACCGATTTTTTCCATTTTGTCAGGCTTGCAAATGATGTTGGAGACTATAGGGGTTAGATGTTTTTAGTGGCGACCTTGAAACTCTTTAAAAGAACAAGTTTTGGGTTAATATTTGGTCGAGTCAAATCATCTAGGATTATTTTATTGTTTATTTTTCTTTAATTAATCAATACTTTTATTATTTCCTGATAATTCAACCCAAATTCATGTATATTTAACCTAATTCGACCCGGTTTTGGAATTTCCAAATTGTGGGTCGAGAACGAATTTAAACCCCCCCTCTTTTGATAGTTGAACCCAAAATCCCGCTTTATCGAGTTAAATCCAGTGTTGGCTCATTTTGGGTCGAGGACGGTTTTATCCTTGACACTTTGGGGGCGTGAATGAATTTTATCCACTTATGTAATCATCAAATTGGGTGAAGAACACATTTTAGCTACTCTTTTATCGACATATTTGGGGGTGTGTGGATTTTGTTAAAAACTCGCCCGCTTTATCAAACCAGTCAGAGAAATAAATGTGTGTTCAAGCTAATTCCTATGTGTTCACAAATTTTGGGTCGCTTTGAGATTGAAACAAAATTGAACCCGCCTCTTATGACAGATGAACCCAAATTCACGTTTGTTCAAACTAATTTGACCCGGTACCGGTATTGTCGAGTTTGGGTCGAAACAAAATTTACCTACTTTTCAAATTAACGAATAGGGTCAAGGATGAATTTTGTTAAAAACACACACCCGCTTTATCGAGTTAAGTCCAGTGTTGACGCATTTTGGATCGATGGCGGGTTTTACCATTGACACTTTTGGGGGCAAGAACGCATTTTACCAGCTTTTGTGATCGACGGATTGGGTCGCTTGTGGATTGTTTAGAAACTAGCCCCGCTTTATCAAACCGGTCAGAGAAATTCATGTCTGTTCAAGTTAATTCATGTGTATTCACAAATTTTGGATCGCTTTGGGATTGAACCCAAATTGAACTTGCCTCTTATGATAGTTGAACCCAAAATCCAGCTTTATCGCGTTAATGCTGCTCTATAACACAACACCTAACAATGGCCAAGTGTAACCAATGAAAGGGACTGCAGTATAGTGGCACAAGTAATAAATATCGAATCCACGGGTCTCTAGAGTTACTATTACTCAGCTTCAGTTCATTATCTAGCAAACTAGATTAAGGATTGATTAACTAAACTACTCTACTAACTAAACTAAGTAAAACTACTAATTACAGTTTGGGAACTCACTTAGGTATGATTCCCCCTAGCTCCTCAATTAGGTCCAAGTTGTAATTCATTTTGGTTGATTTACTGTTGATTAAACTGCGGAAGATCCGACAGTAGCTTGGAATCTCTTAAGCTGACCAAGCCCTCTCAGTCTAACTATCCGGCAGACGACTAGTCTTCACCGGGATAGAAAGCTGAAGCAATAAGCACAGAACTCCACTACTGGAATTGGATTCCAGTACAAAGTAGTAAACTGGCTAACTCTCGTATAGCCAATCTCCTACTACCGAATGATGAGACTCTAGCAACCTAATCAGATTCTATCTATCTCAGGTTGCAGCAGAAATCAGGAAAAGTTGATCAGACTTCAATTGACTCAATAAACATGCATCATTCGATTATAATCAAACAATATAGCATCCAAAACTTCATACAAGAAAGATCCTAACTCATGGAACTAGGGTTCCTCAAAACCTAAGTGAAGGGAAGTTACTCCATAGAGAAGAGAGAGACTGCAGAAATCTGATCTAGATCTTCAATCTCCATCTCCAAGCTTGATTCCCGAGCTCCAATGGCGAAGAAATCCTCCAAAATAGCTCCAAGAATGTTTCCAAGTCGCTCTCTCTCTCTAGGGTTCGTCCCTTGGGTGTTTGGGATCCAAAACCCAGCTCTCCTCTCCTTTGGCTCGAATTTGGGTTAAAAACAGCCATTCCCGACTCGCACGGCCAGGGTGCACGGCCGTGCACATCACCATTCTGGCCGTGCACCTCAAAACGCGGCGTATCAATTAGTTGAACCTCAGCCAACTCGCACGGCCAAAATTGTAAGTTGCACGGCCGTGCGGATTTCACTTGTGCCCGTGCGTGCCCACGCACAATCCCGCACGGCCAAACTGGTCACTTGCATGGCCGTGCGTGGCCACGCACAATCCCGTGCGTGCCCACGCACGATCCCGCACGGCCAAACTGGTCACTTGCACGGCCGTGCGGGTTGTGGGTGTGCCCGTGCGACTTCCTCAGAACCTCGCCATGCGTCCGATCCTCGTCCAATCGACCCCAGACTCGCTCCTAAGCCTTCATTCACGTCCTAGGACCTGAAATATCACAAACAAGCACAACCTACCGTGAAATCGGCCTAAAACACGAGAATCAACACTTCAAACGGTGTAAGAATGGGGGTAAAAACATGTGTAAATGACGGTCTATCAAACTCCCCCACACTTAACCGTTTGCTTGTCCCCAAGCAAACCTAACTCAAACCAATGCAACTCTCCAGACCTCTATAGCAACAAACACCACAGATCGTAGGTAGAGGACTTCCTAGATCATTTAGCAACTTACGAGGTCAACCGAAACACAAGTCATCTCATAGCTTCTTCGGCGAGAGCACTAGTATCGAGTCGGCATCATGGCAAATAGTGAACAGAGGACAAATGAATTGTGGATGAAGAGATTCTCAAAAACAAAAGATCATGGACTCACATTTTTCAAGGTGCTCTATTTTCTTCTTGAAGATGGTTGGAACCCCTTTTCTTTTCTGTTTTGCATGTTTTCTGTTTTTTTTTTTTTTCAAGGGTCCCAACCTGCTCTTACCGGCCATGCCAGGAGCGGATGTCTCGAGCCTCGTGCGGGGGAAAGACATGTAAGGGGGCTGGAGGTAGTAGGTGGAAATTGGGAACGAATTCCCGTCTCCCCTTACACACTTTCGCCCTATTCGCACGGGAGACGTTATTTTGAAGCACATTTTCGAGCACCTGTTAAACTCAAAACATGATACAAGAGTCCATGACAGGTAGAGAATCCACAACACCACACAATTCAAGGGTCCTAAGATCACTAATTCACTCAATCAACCAACACAATATGAAGAAGCAATGAGACTTCTTAAATGCATCAACATCCTCCATAGTGCTACACTACCTCCCTAGGTTGCATATTACTATAAAGACTGTCAATTCAAAGCATACTGAGCAGGCAATTGCAAGGAACACGTACTTGGAGCCCTCAAATTCAAAATTTGGACAGTGGACTAGGCTCCAAGCACACAAACAACCAAACATTCACCCGCATAAATAATCGAACACCCCCCCACACTTAAGCACGACATTGTCCTCAATGGAGGAAAGATAAGGAGGGTAGAACGAAGTTACCAGATCAAGGGTGAATGATGATGAACGGGTCAGGCGGTGCATCCCAGAAAGAGAGAGTAATCAGAACACAAACACCACACAAAATCTCACAAAGGTTGAGTTATTGACTCTAAAATCAAATAACAAAAATGACTCAACCGAGGATAAATAGAGAAAGAAATGCAAACCGACTGGTTGGGTTGCCTCCCAACAAGCGCTTCTTTCACGTCGTGAGCCGGACGATGGCTCCTAAGTTTCGGTCCATGCTAGAACCTCCTTGAAGTTGAGGTTCTCGTCGATGAGGTGGAGTCTCAAGTCACGAGCATGTGGTGTGGCAGGTGAGGAAGGCTCATGTACTTGATGCAGATGAAGTCTCCACCCTAGAGACCTCTTCTTCTCTTCTCTCGTCTCATTGCCCCAAACCAGATATGACAGCATCGATTGGCCACCATCGCGTCCACCAAGAGGGACCGATGTCGATGTGGCCTTGGTCTGGCAAAGAGACACTGCAAATGGGTCCTTGCCAAGCAGCTCCTCGAAGTTTGGTGGAGATATCACATGTAACTCATGGCCGGTGCAGGCCTCTTCCACCTTAACTCCGTCCTCAGCCTGGACGCCAATTGCTTCTTCAACCTCCCTTTCTTCTTCATGTGGTATCACCCCTGGGAAAAGATCAAGAACTCCTCCTGCTTCACTTTCTTCATCCTCCACAACTTCTTTCTGCACCCTTTCTCGCTCTTCTTCTTCTAGCACGGATTGGAGAGCAAGTTGCCAAGCAATTTCTTTCATGAGATTTTCTTGCATCTCCTCACTCATGCCCGCCTCTTCAAAGCTCAGTTTGGGATGTGGGAAGGTGTGGTCGGCTACGGCAGGAAATTCCTGATCATGATCATCACGAGAGCTTTTCGTGAAAACTTCTGTCTGCTCCACAATATCCTTGTAGCCTTCGTCTTCCTCCTCCTCTTCTAGTATGATAGCAGAAGGGTGATCTTGAGCAGGTTGTGCATAAGCTTTCTCAAGATCCTGGAGGCTCTTCTTTATGCTCAGGAGGGTCTCCTCTGTTTCACGGTAGGAGAACCCAGTTTGGGCATTGTCTGGGATATCCATCTTTGGAAAGGATGTCTCAGGTACTCGAGCAATCTGGTCCACGAGAAGCCTCAAGTGATAGTTTGGATCTGGCTGATGGAGGAATTCTTCTTGATAAGGAGATTGTTCTTGAAATACCCAGGGGTCTGATTGTTCTTCGTAGGATGGGGGTTGGTACTGAAACCCGAATCCATAGTCTTCTCCTCCTTGATTGCTCCAGGGGGTCTCGGGGTAATACCACTCGGATGGTGGTGGATACCCCCAATGGTTGGAGAAGCCATGAGGATCCATGATTCAGATCTGCACCAACAAAAACAAAAAACACCCAAGTGAAAAGAAAGGGTGGAAAAGCAAAGAAAAAAAGCTAAAGTAACAAACTTCTGCCTTTCCTAATAATCTAGAAAGTCCCCGGCAACGGCGCCAAAAACTTGATGCTCTATAACACAACACCTAACAATGGCCAAGTGTAACCAATGAAAGGGACTGCAGTATAGTGGCACAAGTAATAAATATCGAATCCACGGGTCTCTAGAGTTACTATTACTCAGCTTCAGTTCATTATCTAGCAAACTAGATTAAGGATTGATTAACTAAACTACTCTACTAACTAAACTAAGTAAAACTACTAATTACAGTTTGGGAACTCACTTAGGTATGATTCCCCCTAGCTCCTCAATTAGGTCCAAGTTGTAATTCATTTTGGTTGATTTACTGTTGATTAAACTGCGGAAGATCCGACAGTAGCTTGGAATCTCTTAAGCTGACCAAGCCCTCTCAGTCTAACTATCCGGCAGACGACTAGTCTTCACCGGGATAGAAAGCTGAAGCAATAAGCACAGAACTCCACTACTGGAATTGGATTCCAGTACAAAGCAGTAAACTGGCTAACTCTCGTATAGCCAATCTCCTACTACCGAATGATGAGACTCTAGCAACCTAATCAGATTCTATCTATCTCAGGTTGCAGCAGAAATCAGGAAAAGTTGATCAGACTTCAATTGACTCAATAAACATGCATCATTCGATTATAATCAAACAATATAGCATCCAAAACTTCATACAAGAAAGATCCTAACTCATGGAACTAGGGTTCCTCAAAACCTAAGTGAAGGGAAGTTACTCCATAGAGAAGAGAGAGACTGCAGAAATCTGATCTAGATCTTCAATCTCCATCTCCAAGCTTGATTCCCGAGCTCCAATGGCGAAGAAATCCTCCAAAATAGCTCCAAGAATGTTTCCAAGTCGCTCTCTCTCTCTAGGGTTCGTCCCTTGGGTGTTTGGGATCCAAAACCCAGCTCTCCTCTCCTTTGGCTCGAATTTGGGTTAAAAACAGCCATTCCCGACTCGCACGGCCAGGGTGCACGGCCGTGCACATCACCATTCTGGCCATGCACCTCAAAACGCGGCGTATCAATTAGTTGAACCTCAGCCAACTCGCACGGCCAGAATTGTATGTTGCACGGCCGTGCGGATTTCACTTGTGCCCGTGCGTGCCCACGCACAATCCCGCACGGCCAAACTGGTCACTTGCACGGCCGTGCGTGCCCACGCACAATCCCGTGCGTGCCCACGCACAATCCCGTGCGTGCCCACGCACGATCCCGCACGGCCAAACTGGTCACTTGCACGGCCGTGCGGGTTGTGGGTGTGCCCGTGCGACTTCCTCAGAACCTCGCCATGCGTCCGATCCTCGTCCAATCGACCCCAGACTCGCTCCTAAGCCTTCATTCACGTCCTAGGACCTGAAATATCACAAACAAGCACAACCTACCGTGAAATCGGCCTAAAACACGAGAATCAACACCTCAAACGGTGTAAGAATGGGGGTAAAAACATGTGTAAATGACGGTCTATCAGTTAACCTCAGTGTTGACGCATTTTGTGTCGAGAACGAGTTTTATCCTTTACACTTTTGGAGGCGTGAATGAATTTTATCTACATTTGTAATCATCGAATTGGGTCGAAAACACATTTTACCCGCTTTTGTAATCGACAAATTGGGTCCCGTGTGGATTTTGTTAGAAACTCGCCCGCTGTATCACACTGGTCAGAGAAATGCATGTGAGTTCAAGCTAATTCATGTGTGTTCACAATTTTTGGGTCGCTTTGGGATTGAACCCGCCTCTTATGATAGTTGAACCCAAATTCATGTGTGTTCAAACTAATTTTACCCGGTACCGATTTTGTCGAGTTTTGGATCGAGAACAAATTTTGCCCGCTTTTGTAATTAACAAGTTAACAAATTGGGTCGGTTGTGGATTTTGTTACAAACTCGGCTCGCTTTATCGAGTTGAATCCAGTATTGACGAATTTTGGGTAAGGGACGAGTTTTATCGCTTTTGTAATCAACAAATTGGGTTGCATGTGGATTTTGTTAAAAACTCACTCCACTTTATCAATCCGGACAGAGGAAGTTGAATCCAGTTTTCACAAAACTTGGGTTGCTTTGGGATTGAACCCAAATCGAACCCACGTCTTATGACAATTTAATTGAACCCAAATTCATGTTTGTTCAACCTAATTTGACCCGATACAGGTGTTGCCGCATTTTGGGTTGGGGATAAATTTTACTAACTTTTGTAATTAATGAGTTGGGTTGAGTGTAGATTTTATTACAAATTTTCTCCGCTCTATCGAGTTGAATCCGGTGTTGACGAATTTTGGATCGTGGACGAGTTGTACACGCTTTTGTGATCAATAGATTGGGGCACGTGTGGATCTTTTTGTAAGAAACTCACCCCGCTTTGTCAAACTAATTAGAAAGAGTTCTAAAACATTGTTTCGCAGAGTCACATCACAAGAAGTGATCTTTTTGTAGTTAACCCAAGATAGGAGTTTTTTTTGTCTGTTTTTAGGAGTAATTATGTGAACTCATTTAGGTTAGTTTAGATTTATTTTAATTTTCATTTAATTTCCTCATCTCTTTCCACCACTCAACACTCTCTCTCTCACACATATGCCAATCTCCTCCTTTCTCTGCGAGTCTACTAAACCAAAAGTAAGAACAAAAGAGAGGAAAAGCTTCACCAACAAAATACATGAGGGGATAATTTTTATTTCTTGATCTACAATAATCGAACTACGACTCAACATTCTATTCTTAAGTTTTTTTCTTCATTGTACCTTAATTTCAATTACCGGGCACTAAGTAACATATTATTTCAGTATCTAGGTTCACTTTATAACAAGAAATCAATAACTCCGCCGCGAAGCGCGAACTTCCGTCCTAGTTTTATTAACAAGAGAAGGTGTAATGTCTTTCACATTTCATTCCTTTTCCTCTAATGGCTCGCATATATATAATTGATCACAATCTCTCCGTCCCATTTCATTCCTTTTCCCATTTTCGGACCGAGAGCAACAGAGCGAGCGGAGAGTTCAGGGGACGCGGAGTAGAATTTTCCAAAGCTTGATTCTTGAGCTCTAGTGATCCAAAAATCTCGTAAGTAACGCCTAATCCATTTATACATCGTAGTTTATTGATTTAGAGCATTAAAATGAGTTTTTGAATTAGAAATTTCTTGAATTTTTGATAAACCAAATTAGGGTTTTGGAGTATCCGAAAGTCGGATTCAGCCTAGATTTCATATACGACCTTCCTGCAGTTCATGAATTTCGGCAATTATTTAGGTCGAAGTCGGAATCGCTAAATTTTGATCCGGCTAGGGTTTGATGTGTTTTTATCGGGAATTTGAGCCGGAACCTAGTATTAACTTTGACGGGGACACTGCCCGGGATATTAGGACAATCTCGGATTTTGATTCCGAGTTTGTTTGAGAAAAGTGAAGTTTAGTTTGGGAGGCTAAAACCGGTGTTATATTGATGCTTAGAATTGAGGGATTATCACGATTAGAACTAGTTTGAACGACCAGAACTAGTGAGGGATTAGCACGACATACCGGGTTCGTCGTATGGACTTTTATGCTATATGATGAACCATTAGGTGTTGTATGATATTATTGACTTGCCCTAATCGATATGGACTTTGTTTATGTTGATGATTGCACACATGTTGCTATTTGTGGCTTAACTGTTGATATTACTTCATGGTTGATCGATAAGGTGTTTTGACATGATGTGATATTGTGGTTGTATTTGGATTCACAAGTGGGGAAAATAAACTTCCCATGGTGATATTGTGATGTTTTGAGGAGGATGACTTGCACGAGGGTTTATCCCGAGGAAGTGCAACTATACGACTCCTGGTTTGCCTATGTTGAGCCAATTATGGCCAGGTCAAGTACATGTGCAAGTAACGAATTATGATTAAGCAAGATGATATATGAATCATGTATAAGGATACCAAATATGAGTGTTGTGGTCTCACGGTCAATTACATAGTAATTAGGCTCCCTATGATATTACTCTATTATGATATGTAAGATACTCACACCACTCATGTGGTGGTGACTGAAGATTACTTACGAGATATGACCCCACCCAGAGCGGTGTCGGGGTATGACTACACCCATAGTGGTGTGGGGTATGTATGACCACATCCGACGGGATGTGGGGTATGTTTCCAGGGACAGTTATTAGCATGGGAGTAAGTAAAACATGATAAGACGCATATGCATAAGTCAAGGTGGTTGAGTCTTTTGCCCATTGGGATATGAAGATGACTAAGGTCCGATCCTAGTGTTTTGGCTTAATTGCTAGATGAATGGTAGGGGTATGTTTTGTTATGAACTCACAATGCAATGATTGTCTCACTCAGCCATGAGCTGACCCTATTTTATCCTTTTTTCTCTACATATGCCATGTGTAAGTAGATCATCATCATCAGTAGTAGATAGGTGTATAGGGGAGCCGAGGAAGAGTTGAAGGCAAGATGAGGTATGGTCTTCAACTATTTTGTGCTTGGACGACTACTCGGGATTTTGGCCAATGATCCACACCTTTTTGTAAAAATGTTTTGAGAACTTTTTTCATGTGCATTCTAGCTTCTGATGTAGTGTGAGATATCCAAAGGTGTGGAAAGTTTATATGTGTATATTTGTATGGTTATGTAAGTTGTGACGACTATGGCATGTATTAGTAAGGTATGCAGTTGTGGAGTATGAAACTGTGACTATGACTATGAAAGCCAATATTGATGGGAGTGAGTATATATTTATGTCTACGAATGCAAGGATTCAGATGAATTATTTTGTAGGTTGACACGCTAGAACACAACACCAAACTGCGACCAAGTGTAATCGCAGAATGGGACTGCAGTATAGTGGCACAAGTAATAAATATCGAATCCACGGGTCTCTAGAGTTACTATTACTCAGCTTCAGTTCATTATCTAGCAAACTAGATTAAGGATTGATTTACTAAACTACTCTACTAATTACAAGTTGGGAACTCACTTAGGTATGATTCCCCCTAGCTCCTCAATTAGGTCCAAGTTGCAATTACCTTTGGTTGATCTACTGTTGATTAAACTGCGAAAGATCCTAAATTAGCTTGGAATCTCTTAAGCTGACCAAGCCCTCTTAGATAGAATACCCGACAGGCGACTAGCCTTCATCGGGATAGACTGGTAAGGCGATTCACAAAGATCTCCACTACTGGAATGAATTCCAGTAAAGCGTAGTGAATTGATTGACTCTCGCACAACCAATTCACCAAGATCAATCAAGGAAGCTCTCTTAACCTAATCAGATTCTATCTATCATAGGTTAAAGCAAAGATCAAGAGAATCTGATCAAGATTCAATTGAATCAATAAATCATGCCTCAATCGATTATAATCAAACAATATCGCATCCAAAACTTCATACAAGAAAGATCATAACACATGGAACTAGGTTTCCTCAAAACCTAAGTGAAGGGAAGTTACTCCATAGAGAAGAGAGAGACTGCAGAAATCTGATCTAGATCCAAGCTTGATTCCCGAGCTCTAATGGTGAAGAAATCCTCCAAAATAGCTCCAATAATGTTCCCCAGTTGCTCTCTCTCTCTCTAGGGTTCGTCCCTTGGGTGTTTGGGAACCAAAACCCAGCTCTCCCTTTCCTTTGACTTGAATCTGCCTCAAAACCCCGATTCTGGGCGAAATACGGGCTGAATTACGGTCGTAATTCTTCCATGCCCGTATTTAGCCCAAAACACGCGTTTTAGTTAAGTTACGGCGCATCAAAGGCTCCTCTCGGCACTAAAAATATGGGCATGGGAGGGACAAATACGGTCGTATTTCTCCTGCCCGTATTTCTTCCTTCGCTCCTGTTTAATGCTTCGTTTCTCCCTCGTCCGGACTCCGAATCAGTCGCCGTTTGATCCCAGACGCTCGGAGTCTCGTCCTCTTTCTTTTCATGACAAGATTCCATGATTATTTGTCCATAATTTGAGGTAGAATTCCATTCTTCCTCAGTTCAGGCTCGTGTTTCTTCTCCCGAATTGCCAAATGAATTCCGATTGACTTGAAACTTGCGCCTATGCTTCAATTAACATGCTAGGACCTGAAATGTGACAAAAGAACACAACCAAGCGTAAAATAGTCCAAGAAAGCAAAAACACTAGTCAAAATGATCAAGAAACGAGGGTGCAAACAAGTGCAAATACGACGTTATCAAATTCCCCAACACTTAACCGTCTGCTTGTCCCCAAGCAAACCTGACTCAAACCAATGCAACTCCAGACCTCTATAGCAACATGTACCCTCGATCGTCCGTAGAGGATTTCCTAGATCATTTAGCAGCTTACGAGGTCAGCCGACGCACAAGTCATCTCCTAGCTTCTTCGACGAGAACGCTAGTCTCGAGTCGGTATCATGGAAAATAGTGATCACAGGACAAATGAATCGTGGACGACGGGACTCTCAAAAACAAAATATCATGGACTCACATTTTTAAGGTGCTCAATTTTCTTCTTGAAGATGGTTGGAACCCTTTTTTTCTTCTTGTTTGTCTTTTTTCTCTTTTTTTTTTCAAGGGTTCCAACCTGTTTTTTTTTTTCTTCAGAAAATGGGGCTCCCACCTAGCAAAGGTTTTGAGGGAGCCCAGCTCTTACCGGCCATGCCGGGAGCGGATGTCTCGAGCCTCGTGCGGGGAAAGAAATGTAAGGGGCTAGAGGTAGTAGGTGGAAATTGGGAACGGATTTCCGTCTCCCCTTACACACTTTTGCCCTTTTCACACGGGAGACGTTATTTTAAAGCACATTTTTTAGCACCTTTTACTTCAAAACATGATACAGGAGTCCATGACAGGTAGAGAGTCCACAATACCACACAATTCATGGGTAATAAGATCACTAATTCACACAATCAACCAACACAATATGAAGAAGAAAGGAGACTTCTTAAATGAATCAACATCCTCCATAGTGCTACACTACCTCCCTAGGTTGCATATTACTATAAAGACTTTCAATTCAAAGCATACTGAGCAGGCAATTGCAGGGAACACGTGCTTGGAGCCCTCAAATAAAAATTTGGACAGTGGACTAGGCTCCAAGCACACACATACAACCAAACATTCACACACATACATAATCGAACATCAACCCCCCCCCCCCCACACTTAAGCACGACATTGTCCTTAATGGAGGTAAGATAAGGAGGGTAGAACGAAGTTACCAGATTAAGTGTGAATGATGGTGAACGGGGCAGGCGGTGCATTCCAGGAGGAGAGAGTAGTCGGAACACGAACACCACACAAAATCTCACAAAGGTTGAGTTATTGACTCTAAAATCAAAGAACAAAACTGAATCAACCGAAGAGAAATAGGGAAAGAAATGCATACCGACTGGTTGGGTTACCTCCCAACAAGTGCTTTTTCCACGTCATGAGCCGGACGGTAGCTCCTAAGTTTCAGTCCATGCTATAACCTCTTTGAAGTTGAGGTTCTCATTTATGAGGTGGAGTCTCAAGTCACGAGCAGGTGGTGTGGCAGGTGTTGAAGGCTCGTGCACTTGATGCATCTGAAGTCTCCACCCTCGAGACCTCTTCTTCGTTTCTTCTCTTGTCTCATTGCCCCAAACCAAATATAACCGTATCGACTGACCATCGCTTCCACCAAGAGGGACCGATGTGGCCTTAGTCTGGCAAAGAGACATTGCAAATGGGTCCTTGCTAAGCAGTTCCTCGAAGTTTGGTGGGGATATTAGTTGTATTATAGGGCCTGTGCAAGCCTCGTCCACCTTGACTTCATCCTCAGCGTGGACACCACTCACTTCTTCAACCCCCCTTCCTTCGTCAAAATGTGGTCTCTCCTCGGAAAAGATCAAGAACTACCTCTTCTTTGCTTTCTTCCTCATCCTCCACAACTTCTTTCTTCACCCTTTCTATCTCTTCTTCCATAACTAATTGGAGAGCAAGTCACCATGCAAGGTTCTCAATAAGTTCAGCTTGCATCTCCTCGCTCGGGCCCAACATGTCAGAGCGGAAATGGGGAAAGTTGTGATCTACCACCAGAGGATACACTATATCATGATTATCACGGGAGCTTTCCTTGACAACTTTTGTATGCTCCTCAACATCCTCACGATTTGCCTTCTTCTTCCTCCACCTCTACTTGTATGGCAACATAAAGGTTGTCTTGAGAAAACTGTGAACAAGCTTTCTCAATGACCTCTATGTGCTTCTTTATGATCCGAAGGGTATCCTCTGTTTCAAGGGGAAATGAGAAGTCAGTTTGGGCAATGGCCGGGATATGAGGATCCATCTCGGGAAAGGATCTCTCAGGTACTCGAGCAATCTGCTCCACGAGAAGCCTCAAGTGATAGTTTGGATCTGGCTGTGGAGTGTAGCATGGCTCTGCCGGATCGCCAGTGAAGGCTGTGGCTAACTCAAGATCTGATGGCCCTTCTTGTTGTGGGAGGAATTCTTCTTGATAAGGAGATTGTTCTTGAAATACCCAGGGGTCTGATTGTTCTTCGTAGTAGGGGGTTGGTACTGAAACCCGACTCCATAGTCTTCTCCTCCTTGGTTGCTCCAGGAAGTCTCTGGGTAATACCACTCAGAGGATGGTGGATACCCCCACTGGTTGTAGAAGCCATTAGGATCCATGATTCAGATCTGCACCAACAAAAACAAAAACACCAAAGTGAGAAGCAAGGGTGAAAAAAAAAACGCTAAAGTAACAAACTTTTGCCTTCCCTAATAATCTAGAAAGTCCCCGAAAACGGCGCCAAAAACTTGACATGCTAGAACACAACACCAAACTACGACCAAGTGTAATCGCAGAATGGGACTGCAGTATAGTGGCACAAGTAATAAATATCGAATCCACGGGTCACTAGAGTTACTATTACTTAGCTTCACTTCATTATCTAGCAAACTAGATTAAGGATTGATTTACTAAACTACTCTACTAACTACTCTACTAATTATAAGTTGGGAACTCACTTAGGTATGATTCCCCCTAGCTCCTCAATTAGGTCCAAGTTGTAATTACCTTTGGTTGATCTACTATTGATTAAACTGCGGAAGATCCTAAATCAGCTTGGAATATCTTAAGCTGACCAAACCCTCTTAGATAGAATACCCGACAGGCGACTAGCCTTCACCAGGATAGACTGCTAAGGCGATTCACAAAGATCTTCACTACTGGAATGAATTCCAGTACAGCACAGTAAATTGATTGACTCTCGCGCAACCAATTCACCACTATCAATCAAGGAAGCTCTCTTAACCTAATCAGATTCTATCTATCATAGGTTAAAGCAGAAATCAAGAGAATTTGATCAAGATTCAATTGACTCAATAAATCATGCATCAATCGATTATAATTAAACAATATCGCATGCAAAACTTCATACAAGAAAGATCCTAAAACATGGAACTAGGGTTCCTCAAAACCTAAGTGAAGGGAAGTTACTCCATAGAGAAGAGAGAGACTGCAGAAATCTGATCTAGATCTTCAATCTCCATCTCCAAGCTTGATTCCCGAGCTCCAATGGCGAAGAAATCCTCCAAAATAGCTCCAAGAATGTTCCCAAGTTGCTCTCTCTCTAGGGTTCGTCCCTTGGGTGTTTGG